TGAATTTCACCAATTGCTGTGTCTGAATGAACCAAGCTGCTCTCAGTCACAGGCACTGATAGTCCCTCAGCCCCCCACTGTGAGCCAGGTTCAATTCGCTCTGCTGCTAAAATGACTTCTGGGGGGGAAAAAAAAGAAAGAAAGAAAAAAAGCAGTATTGGCAGTCTGCTTTTTCAGAGTGAGTAGCAGCGTTGTGGATGTGGTTGGTGGCGGGTGCAAACACGGGGAACATGGGGGAGAGGTGAAGGGGGAAGTTAGACATGCTCCGGTGGGTATGCACAGGTCTCAAAGGACGGATAGGCCAGTGGTAAATCAGAGGTGCAAGTTGTGAATGGCAAACACAAAAACACGTCACTAACACCTGTGTGGAGCCGAGGACAAGTGCAGTGAGAATGTTAATGCTATCAGCTACATGTGACAGGGATCTTTGCCACAATATACTAAGACACAGAATTTGGAGTTTTCATTATCTGTGAGCCATAATCATCAAAAAGTCAAGAAATAAAAGCTTGAAAGCCTCACTGTATCATGTATAGAATATATGGGTCTCACTATGAGAAAACATTTTTTGAACTTTTTCAAGTGATTCTAATTTTGAGATCAACTAGTATGTTTCCTGAGCAATATGAGAGTGAAAATCAAACCATGATCTGATCCTTCCTTAATAATGCATTAGTCTTATATAATAAGTCTTATATATAGATGCTCTATACTAATAAATCTGTGTTATCCCTCAGTCATTCATGGCGGATCTTCTTTGCTATCTGTGGTGGTAGGTCGCTATTGTAGCTACAGTTGCCCTGTAGCAGACTGACAAAAGCGAGGCTACCAATCTGCGCCATCTGTCCCTCTGACCATGAGCAACACTAACGCACACACCATGGGCATACAAGAGAATATGGGTGAAGTGCTTGGCCTATGGACACAACAATATATAAAATATTTAGTTAATAATTATATGAATTACAAATTATTTGAAAATACAGTCTCAATCTGTCCCACATCGTTTTGCTTGTGCTCTGCCTAATTCCAGAGCCAGAGAAATTCTTAAATGTCTCTCCACACTCTTATCCCCATTCAATCTGCTTACTCTCCTGTTTAATAAAGCCCATTAACGAAAAGGATAACTAACTAACTAACTAACTAACTAACTATGTGTATACAATCAGAATCCCTTTCCTATCTGTAGAAAAACTCTTTGTGTATTTTCTTCTATTTTTATATTTGAGCAAGTACCATAACCTAAGCCCTGTAACAGAAAAGATTAATGAATGATGAATGAGTGCTAGTCCAATAATATAACATAATAGCATTACATATTGTCCTTGTAATTAATTAAGCAAGAAAAAAACTAAGCAATACATCATGCTGTTTTAATAATCATGGTCTCTTGTCAACACAGAATAGAATTAATGACCACAACTAGCAAACTACCATAAGTCTCTACAGCAAAGGCTGAATGTAAAGTCTGATTGTACATTCATATGAGGTTACCTGATGTTTTACAGTCCACATTCAAAAGTAGGTAAAGAAAATGACTCAGGGGGACTCTTGGTCACCATTTCTCTCATTGGCTATTACACGGTGACTGCACAGTGGCTCTGAACAAATGGGGCGTCACTGGGCTGTCATTCAAAAGTTATACAGAGGAGGAGTATGATGTGCTAAGTCTAGTATTTATTATTATAATCAGGATTGAAGCGACCTTTCTATGGGCCATATGGATAAAATATAAAATACACTTCATATCACAATTGTCTGGGCCACCATCTCTGTACACTGGCCTGTACAAGAGCCACATATCTAGGCCTGTCATGATAATAACAATATCAACTTACTGTTTACTACACGGCAGATGACAATATTTTTTGGGGTCAATAATTATCGTTTGTACATTGCCCTACCGGGTGATTTTTGGTTCTTTTTGGACTATATGATAATAATTCAACCTTCTACAGCCCAAATCTTAACTTATTAATTTATTAAATTATTAACTACGACTCATTACAGATGCAAACTGAGTACTAAAGTGTTTGATTCTGCTGTTTATTTATTGAGGTTCATGGTTTTTTAATACTATTTTAGATTTAGAATAGTTTTTGTGGTAAAAATCTGCTTTTGGGTTGTTGTTTCAATGCCATAAACGAATACTATAGTTTATCGTCTATAAACTTCAGCAATACATATACAGTACTTCAAAATGTGTTATTGTGACAGACCTAGTCATATCAACGTAATTAAATAGAAAGTTTAAACAATTTTCTATAATAAAGAAATAGATACATTTTATAAAATACTGTGGAATATTATAGCCAAAGGTACAACATTTCCATGGAGACAAGCAAGAAGATGCTCCAGGGCTCCAGTAAGAGTCAGGGTTTGAGGAGATGCAAACGTGTGCAAAAAAAGCAAAAAAATAAAAAATAAAATAAAATAAATAAATAAATAAATAATAATAATAATATAACGCAGAATCTCAAATTCAAAAGAGATTCATTGATATTAATAAATATACAAACTAGATTAATCCATAGCTAGGGATAGCCTAAACCTTATTTAAATATCATATCGCACAATAGAAAACATTGTACTATTGGAGATACAATTATATTATTAATTATAAAAAGTAAACTTTCAAATGTTAGAGCATAATTTTAGAACAATCAAACAGATGTATATCCATTCATAACTTTTCCAAACTCCATTCATGTGGGACTAAATAGCTCGATTAGCAGCAAACAGTCTAATAATAAGCAAGAGGAATCAGCAGCTAGCTACACTGTTATTATATCTCAGATAGAAAGATTTTTTACACAAGCGTGAACAAAGGCTGGGAATGAGCTCCAATAATTAGGGTTACCTCAGTTCATGCTTTGATCCTGATATTGTTCAAAAATAAATTGTATGGGAATGTTTTAATCATCACTCGTCCAAGCATATTAAGTAGCCCTGGGGGTTTATAAAAGGTTTATATCAGGGGAGACAATCAGGTATATTGATGCTAAGGCTTTTGCTTTGACTTTTATTTAACTTTAGAAAACTACAGCTTCACTTTTGGACTACGCTCAAAAAACACTCTTGAATAAATGGCTTTAGTTAAACAGGCATTGGGAGTGTATTATGTAAAGTCATTATGGGTCAGTGTCTCAGGTTAAGTGTTCACCCACTTACTCCAAGGCTGACAGTTTCAGCCCACTTCCAGAACACAGTCACAAACTTTACCTCCACTGTCCGTGTACTGGTGTAGGATGTGAGTAAATAGTTGTGTTATTATGATGCTGAATGCCTGAACGGTTAAAGATCACTGATTTTAAAAGATATAGAACAATATTTTGTTTTGAATTGGTAATTTTTATGGCAACCCAATTTTTTCACAATTCAAATGCCCTTGAATGTAATTTGTTGAAAATCAAGTTTGTATTAACTAGGGATGAACTCTTCTGATATTCGGATCGGATATAGAAAATTTGGTAGTTTGCATATCAGCTTCCAAACTGATATCCTGTTTGGACATATAAATTGATGTAATGATATGTATTACATCTTGCATTATACTTTATTTTTGTTTTAGGGAAATAAATGCTTCGATCTCTGCACTAGTAACTGTTCATAGAGATATAATACCATAGATAAGATATAATATCAGAATCTGTATTAGAAACTCAAAAGCTGGATCAGAGCATCCCTAATATTAAAAGATATGGTGCCTAAAAGACCATGTCTTATGTGGATAAAATAGCTCCTTTCTCCTTTGCCAAAATCCTGTCACAATGAGATTTAGTACTAAAGGAGAGTATGGTACATTTTTTGCCCAAATTCCACAAGGAGTCTTATTCATGACATCCAGAAGTCCTTTTTACCAAGTGTACACTATAAGTACTCTCTATATCAGGGGTGTCAAACTCATTTTGGTCCGGGGGCCGTATCCAACCTACTTTGATCCCAAAGGGGCCGGATCAGAAAACTCATGGCATATAAACCCCAAAAATAACAATAAGTTCAAATATTTGTGCAGAGAAACAAAAATCTATAACAGAAATCTTTTTTAATTGATGAACTCTTTCTTATTATTATATTATAATATTATGAACAACCTGAAACTTTAAGAAAAATTCAATTTCAACATTTAAAATATTTTAGTAGAAAATCACCCAAGGGCCACATTAAAGGTCTTGGAGGGCCGGATCTGGCCCCCGGGCCTTATGTTTGACACCTGTGCTCTATATATTATCTTAATGTGAGAAGAAAAGTGAGTTAACAGATCGAAGCCAGTGGAGGAGGAGGTAAAGCTAAGTTCACTGCCCTGATGAAGCCCTCTCACCTGGCACGTCGTTCTTCTTCTCCTGGTAGACGGTGCATGTAAAGGCGTAACGTAGGGCAATGGCAGCAAAGAACATTTCGATGCAGATGATAAAGTTCTGCCAGCCCGCGGCCACTGTCCCCGCGCCCACCTCATGCCCGTCGATGAAGAGGGCATTAGGGATAACATTACAGCGCTCCAAGATGGCCAGCACCATGCCTGGAATACATACAAGGTTTTTTATTATTATTTTTTTGTTGAAATGTTGAGTAATAAATGCACCAAAAGTTATGTAAATGTTTTTTTTTTATTTCAGTAATAGTGTCATTTTTCTGCTAGAGGTTCCAACGTGTCTCCATGGGGATGTTATTGCTTTGCCTAGAATGTGCAATAGTATGGCATTAACTCTATCTAATCTAATAGAGACAAGCAGATGATGCCTCCAGGCCAAGTTATAGGTCAGATCTGTGGAGAGGCAACCCCACTCATAGCATGCCTGTTTTTCAAGGTATTTTGGTCTATAAAAACACCTGTAACTGAATAAATGAGTAACAGTTTAATGCCATACTTTTTCAGACCCTCCATCAGAAAAGCAACATAACACACATTTATTTATACAAGTAAAAATGTTATTACACCATGTACACCACCATTACAAATAAAAGTAGAAATTATAAAGGGCCATTACATAAAGGGTGCACACACAGATAAACATAGGCAATGCATGGATTATCAGGGACAGCAATATATCTATATCTTGACTAATATATTTACCAATATAAAACATACAATTTTACTTTCAAGTATTACAATATCAGGTATGGTATTTTTCCTAATGTTAAAACAATATCATATTCACCTTGTATAAATGTATAAGTAGGCTAACATAAATAAAATGTGGAAGACATACCTTGCCAGAAGGAGAGGAAAATGACAGATTTGATTGTGAGAAACTTGAGCACTGGTTCATACGGCCGCAGCAGGTCACTTGTAGCAAAGAAGAAGAGGAACAGCGCGTACAGGGACAGACTCACGGAGAAGTTGTAAATGATTGTGATGTACAGGTACCCTCCATTAACACTGCAACAAAGAACACACAGTGGTCAGCCTAAACAGTAAGGCAACTGAAGAAAAGTAGCAGTAGCAGATTTGTGATTATGCTATATACTGTGTCAGAGACATCATATCCAGGGATGTTACAATATTTTCAACTACAATACTCTTATAGGAGCATTGTGTAACTGTCTGGTAGAGGGTTTGCCACCTGCTACACAGAGATGTTATTGCTTTGTCTGGAATGTTCCAAAGTACAGCATTAGTCTATCTATCTTGTTTATCTGTTTTAAGTATTTATTGCTACAAAAACATGCAACCTCTACAAATCTGACCTGTAACTTGGCCTGGTGGCATTACCTACTTGTTGCAACGGTGATAAGTTTAATGCCATACTGTGGAACACTCTTGGCAAGCAGGTGACAGACTCTACACCAGAAAAGTTATACACCCTATAAATCCTAAGACGTGTGATAGTAGTGGTAACAATAAACAGCCTATCTAAGACTGCAGCTCTGATAGAAATGAGTCTATTTATTGTGTGTACCAGGTTGCATATTAGGCAGGCAGCCAACTGATGTGTCTACTTGAGATGTAGATTTAACTTAATAAGTCCCAGCATTTGGACAGCACTGCGGTAATTCCAATTTGTTCTTTGCTAAATATACACTTTGTACTTATAAGAACAGGTGGTTAATAAAGTATTCGCTCTCACTGCAAGAAGCATTTCAAAGTTGCATGGTAGTGTTTATTTCTTTGTCTTTCTCTAAAGCACGTCTCCAAGGACCCGGCTGTGACTGCACTAATTACTCCCATAAAGCGTTGAGAGCAAGAGAAGAGAGAAACGCAATTGTGAATCATTGCTGTCGGGTAAAAAAAAGGATGTATTTCTTGTTGCTAACATTGTTACTTGAAGTGGCTAAAATGGGTAAAGTGATTGGGAACGATTGTCACAAGGCTCGTGGAACTTTTCGGCAAGTTCAGGCACGTGTCTCCATTGTTACTTCTACAAAAGACACGGAAGGAAGAGAGGAAAAAATATGTTGATTTTACAGCTTTGGAGGGCACGTTAAATACAATGACACAATTATCCTCTTCAGCGGCTGCAACCCCTTGTGGGGCTAAGACAAATTATGTAAAAATCACACTTGGTTCTCTGCTGGTCTTAATATAACTTGATATTCAAAACTAATAAACAGGAATAAAACAGAGCTTCACGGGTCGCAAACTGACGGTCTTCATTTCAAATTACAACTCATGGGTTTCGCCAGTAAGAGTCTAATTATGAAGTTTGTGAAATATAAAGAACAGATATTTAATTGCTTGTTCCCCCCACGAGGTAAGTGTGATGTGTGAGCGCATACGCAAACTACATTACAAACTAGGACTGCTTAATTTAAGTTTTCTGACAAGCATTGCAATTACAATTTGATATGTGATTTATGGTCAGAAAGCAGGATTCTGTTAAAATTCACATTTGTTAAGATGTCTAGAAGAATTACCATAATATTTGGGAGAAGACTGAAATCTGAACTTAAACTAGTACAAGAATCCCATGTATTTCAGAACGTGTTTGTAGAGGGTATGTGTACAGGGTGTTTATTGTTTTGAGAAGAAATTATGTTACTCAAATTAACTAACTAATTTGTGATTGCTTGCTGTCCTATTAGAAGTCATAATACTAGTCATCATGTCATAACAAATTCAGACAGGAGAAGATATGGGAGTAAAATAACTGTAGCAAAGAGGAAGCTGACATTGACCAAAATGAATCTTTTGGGGTTTTTTTTTTAGTATTGAAATGACTGTGTTTAGGCGATATTATGGCAATCCATCCGAAATGTAATAAAATGTGCCTTTAAATGTGCTGCTGGAGGTTCAAATATTGCACAAAACGTTAATGGACTGTAAAATTAACCAATAAAGTGCAGAAACATAACTTTATACTCCTTTTAAAAGATTCCATTGCAAATTATTTTGGCACTCTTTGAGAAATAGTTTTCTTTTTCACATAGATTTAAATGATTCAAATTTTGCGTCTTCAAAACAACAGCGGTTGCTTTATTATCACATTTGTTTCAATATATCTCACACCTGTATCCTCCACAAAAACTAGTTTAAAGGTTTTATATTACACAAAATTGACTCTTGTGCACTTCAAGCCATGTTAGAATGTTCTTACCTCATCAGAACAACACCTGGAGACATGTTTTGTTTTATTATACATGAGTAACCCTTTATTAGTCTGTTTACATCTCCAAAGCTCAAAATGCTCTGTCCCACCTTGAGATGTCACGCAGTGGTAGTTTTCAAATTAACAGCTACCTTTTACCTTTTTATTTTCAGTAGAGTTTGGAAATTCCAAGGCAGAAATTATCCAAATGATTCTAGTGACGGTGCAGTTTAAAAACACAGTGAAGCACTTCCTGTATTACCACATTACGTCACAAGGTAGAACAGAGCTTCTTCTTTCTGAGAGAAGATATAATATACAGGATTTGTGTGTTAAACATGTGTGAATGAAACAAAACACAACTCCAGGTATGTTGATGATGAAGATAATAAAATAGAGTAATAGGGGCCCTTGACTATGTGGGTCATAATTGGAATGAGTTATTTTTACATTGTCAGAGCTTTACGTGTAGAGAAAGTAGATTGGAGTAGTAAATAAAATCATGATTACAGTTTAATTAATTACATTGTCAATTCCAAACTCTCCCAATGAAGTTGAATGCGCAAACCGAGTACAATAAACAGTAAAGCACCTGCACACATCTAAATAGTAGTTTCTTTCTACTTGAGCGTTTCGACTCATTTCAGTGCACCTGCGTTCTGTGCACAAGTGATATCAGTATCTCTATTTGCACATTGTTTGTCTGTGTGCATAAATAACAAATTACGCTGCTGGCAATGGCACGAATGCACTAGATACATGAAGAGGAGAGAGGAGTCGCTTACTTAAAATCTCCGTCATGGTATTTGCCAAACGCCTGCAGGACAATGGTGATGACGGCCATGATAGGTTTGACGACACAGAATTGTAGAGTGGCCTGAAAGAAACCCATCACAAAACATAAATTACAGATTTAGGTGAAAAATCAAGAACAGGCAAAATCAACAGGCAACAGTAAGATCTGCCCCAGTGTCAAATCCTCAGGCAAATGGCTCAGTTTGCCGGAGGAAAGCCAGAGGGACCAAACTTTGCACATATCAAATAAAGTTGGTGCATTCCCTCATTGGTCCAGGAGCAGTCCACAATACAAAAGGTTGCAAAAGGTGTCATCAGGACAGTGTTTTTGAAAACGAGAGATTTCAGATGCTATCTGAAAGCCATTTCCAATCTGAAAATTCTCAGTAATTTTCAATCTCTCATTTTCTCTCAGAGTGGAGCAGTTTGGAAAATGCTACCACAAAATCTAAGAATATTTCCAGATACTGATTTAAGAAAACCCTCACATAGCTGACAGGCAGCAGAGCCAGTGTTTCTTAGAACTGGGGTATCTGACGTTTTAAAATTAGTACATTTAAAGTTTTCTCTGAAACACAATATTGTAAAAGCAGCACTCTGTGAAAAATCTGATGGCTGCGCGCTAGGCCTGTCACAATAACACATTTTGAAGTGCGATATAGTTCTAGTAAAAATATAGAATATCGCATAAAGCAAGGCTACTAAAGTAAACATAGAAAGTGAGACAGAGCCTGCACACTTACTCCCAAACTGCTTTTAATGAATGACAATGTTTCGATCAATCATCAGTCAAATATTAATTATAATATTGAAACCAAACCATAAGGCAGAATAATCCCCAAAAAGTGTTGTAAATGTACAATATTGTTTAAAAAAAAATAAAAGCCAACACTTTAGTAGTTAATTTGTATAATAAGTCAGAGATGTTCATAATACCATGTGTTCATAATTCAACCTTCTACATTTTAAATCGCATTGTAGAACAGAAAAATAACCAAAAATGTCCCACTAATGCAGAGAAATATTACCCACCATAAATAGTGACCCCAAAAAATTACTGCTCCATCTTATATATATTAAACAATAAGGGGATATAGTGATTATCGTGACAGGCAGGCCTACTGTGCACGCCCTGTCAGTGTTAATAATAATAAAGTACACGGTCAACCTAGAAGTAAGAGCCAAAAGCTGCACTCTGATTGGTTGCACTAAGGCAGTCCACAGGCTGAAAAAGCTGTTTTAAAGCTGTGCATGTGCTTGAAAATAAATGCATATGTATATGGAATAATAAAGAATATGGATAAAGGGTCTGTGAGAGCTATAGGGATGAGTTAGACAGATTTAAATAGCTATTTCCTCCTTCCAGTGTGTATAAATCAGGAATTCCAGCTTTAATTAGGTTTTCCCCATGTGTCCAGGTTAACGTCGATCAGACAAAGTTCCACCATTTCATTAAAGATTTGGTTTGAAACCTTCAGTGTTGTAGTGTAGACCTGACACTTGCTCAACTCTCAAAGCCAATAATCTGTGGAGAGATTGTGTGACGTGCTCAGTATTCAAAGCACAAATCAAAGTTTAAAGTTCTTCAGTCGAAAATAAATAGTTTTCTGTGGTGAGATAGCATGCATATCAATTATTTTAAGACTTGTTTTTGTATGTTTGCAAGACCTGCTCTAGCATAAAGGTACAAAAAGATTATTACGTGATTAGTGGTGGGAAGTACCTTTAATATTCAGTATCTTAAATACATTTATGTGTGAAAATAAAGCATATCTTGTTTATTTCAGAGGATTAGAAGCCACAGTCTGGTACCCAAGTATGTTGATTCTTACTCTATTAATGATAACAGTGCTGTGTGAGGGCGATAATGACAATTTTGTTTTGAAGACGATATGCTTGATACTCTTATTTGCATATCTCCAAAAACAACTATTTTGCTATGCACCTTTGGTTCGTTTAAAATTTTCTAAATGCTTCCCATGGACAGGTGTTGGAAATGATCATTTCTGGCTTCAACATTTGAAAGTGCATCTGTTTTTTTCAATGTAATTACTGTGTCCATGTAAAATAGATAAATCAATCAAATCAAATACCCCATCTCTCAAATCAATCTTTAAAAGTTACCTTCAGAAGGGAATGGTAATTCCAGGTTTGAAATTATCCAAATAATTCTAGAGAAGGTGTATGGAGTTTAAAAACTGCCTAATCAGCCTAAATATGCAGGATTTGCATGTTAAAATGTGTGAATGAAACAAAAACAACTCCAGATGAGAAAACAACATTATGACACAGATCAGAAAATAGCGCAATATAGGCCCTAGCAGTAGGAGAAACAATACCATAATATTTAATGCAGTAGTAAGTAGAAAAGCCACCTACCACAAGGGTTAGTGATTGGATTTTCACCAGTGTTTTTTTCTGACTTGGCTTAACCCAATTGTTCATTAAAACAAAGGTTAAGACATTATATAACCCATGCAAATTAAATAAAAGGCCGTTAAGTTACTTTCACCCTTTCCCTACTTGCCCTCTGAAGAACAGCTCGCCTTGAGGTTGGCTCACATGGCTAGACTTTTAATGCTTAACAAAGTGTGTCCCGGAGTGCTCTGTGATAGTCTGATAAAACACCCAAATATCTAAAAAACAGTTAATGAAACTGTATGTGCTTATCCGCTAACCTTATCTCTATGAGCCACAGTAACTCAAGGCTGCAGCTCAAATCAGAGATTCATTTAACCTCATCTAATCACACAGAGCCTGTTACAATGTTAACATGCTCCACTACCAAGGCTTTTGGATACAGCGCTCTGCCTCTCTACTGCTTTAGCGATTGAGTTTGGTATGACTAGACTTTCAGATAGACAGCTGGAGTTCATAATCATGCACGATTAGATGTTTGTGGAGCTGGAGCTAATGGCTAAAAATGTTGCAATTTTTACTGGGAGCTATGAACATTTCAGTGTTGCTGCAAACTCAAGTTGGATTAATATTTAAGAAGTGAATCAGACCAATAGACCAACCATGTTTCAAGGTTACTACCAACTGCATTTTTCAAAATATTTTCTGTATTCAGAGCGTAGACTGTATAAAGAAGTGGCCTAAGGAAGTGTGATGTCCCCACAGCGTTCGGCTCCAGTCAAATGAAGCTCACGATGCTGGCAGTTATAAAAATGAATTTGGAGCCAAGGTCCATATTAAGAATAGAAATGTATTCATGTACAAGATAGAAAATAGCTAAATAAAAACACCAGGATCACGTAGAGCGAGTTAATCCGAACATTTTAAGAACAAACTGACAAGGCTGTGGCAGTTACAGAGAGAAGGACAACAATTTTTCAATGAAAAGTCATTTGGAAACAGAGTTGATGGAGCCAGAAGTGCCTCCATACTCACTTCCTATTTGGAACACGATGGAAAGCAAGTTAGCTATGTCCATTTACAGTAGAGCCCGACCGATATATCGGTTGGCCGATATTATCGGCTGATATGGGCAACTTTAGGCATATCGGCTAACGGCCGATATGCTTGCTGATAGGGGCCGATATTTCACGTGGGCATGTTATACCTCGTTATAAAGCTTAGACTCTCTACATTCTGTTCATTTAATCCAATTTACAGACAGATAAATGTCCTAATATGTGGCTCCACATCAGTATTTATCTACGGAGTCATTTTGTCTGTGTGTGTCCGTACTGTCCCTGAACACACCACAGAGTCGCGTCACTCACGTGTGTTTGTTTACACCTGCAGACACAGATCCAAACACTGAGATTATATTCTTTTTACGGACAATCGGTTTGAGTCTAGATTAAAAGGACATTTATTAGTGCAGTGAGGAGGAGCCTGTATGAGCGGTGAGTGTTGGAAATATGTCGACTCTGAAGCTAGTTTTTGTCATTTGTTATGGGTTAGCTGCTGTAGCTCCCGCACATAAACAGACTGTTTTCTATTGGTCTGTTCTAAAGTAACTATATTGGCCGTATATTTGCTACTGGACCTGCACTGATATGTAAATGAGCTGTGAACAGACGTGTGAATTATGACATTTGCGCCTATAATTAATTACTGCGGCGCGCACGTATTTACGGCTAAAGGCTAATAGCGCTACTTTCTTTATTAGTTATGGGTCCGTCGCGAACGAAATGACTCTTAGAACCGGCTCTTTGAAGGGAACGACGGGAGCCTGATCCTTATTGGGAGCCGTGTTTTCTCTTTTTCTCACTTTTTTTCTCTTCACGCCGCGTGCAGACTCGTGGTTTGACAGCGGCAGCGGCTCAAAACAAAACTTTGAGAAATTTGCGTGTACGTAGGATTAAAAAAAATAAAAATAAAAAAACGAGCATATTTGACTGTAGTTTAGCATAAAATAAATAGGTCCCGGTTTAGTCCTTTTTCAATCCTGGTTTAGACCTGGTTCAGTCCTGATTCAGTCCTGCTTTAGACGTGCTTTAGTCCTGCTTGCAACAAAACAATCTGAAGAGCCACTTGGGAGCCAAAAGAACCAGCAGTTTTTAGTGAGCCGAGCCAAAAGAGCCGGTTCTCTAAAAAGAACTGGAATACCCATCACTAGTGTCTAGAATGTGATGCAAAAATGCAATTAAGCCAACCTACTATCTGTAAATATGATGTAAAGAGGCAGAATAACAATAAATGTTGCCTAAATAAACCCAATTTAAAATCCACCAGAGCCAAACCTAAGTTTTTTAAACAATTCAACATTTACAGTGAATTTTTACATCACTAAATATATCGGCGATTATATCGGCTATCGGCAGCGCCAACTCCCATTATATCGGTTTCATATCGGCCACAGCAAAATCCATATCGGTCGGGCTCTAATTTACAGTCTATGATTCAGAGACTGCAGACATGCTGTATGTGTAGCTATAATCTGTACATTGTCCATTCATGTTAAGAGCAAACTAAACCAATCCCAATGTACATTTAATAGCAATATGGAATGACTATTCTATAACTTGTTTCATGACTTGTTACCAGAGGTGTGCGATTATTTTATTTTTAATTTAATTTAGACTGAAATCACTAGAAGCACAGGGCTTTTTAATGCAGAGGTCTACAGCGTTCTAACACATCTGTCAGTAAAAGTATGTGGTTCGGAGCCAAGTATACGCTGACATTAAACGTACATTAAATTCTCATTTAATGTTAAATAGGTAATCATTTATGTTCATGATGTTATTCTTTATTTGTTGGAGAATTATTGAACAGTTATGAATTATCAATCAATTAAATATGAACATTTTATAATGGTGTAAACATAGGTCACAGCTTGACCTTAAATGCATTGTGAACAAAACATGTTCAGAGATATGAGTCCAAAGCTATCTCTCCTATTGAACAAAACTTTAGAGACAACAGTGGCTTTCACATCAAGGAAATGACTTGCCTCTTTATTGATCTATATCACCCAGTTATTCATTATGGTTCAACTCATGACTGTTTAAAAAAAATATTTTTATAGCTATTTTTGTGACTTTAAATCTTATTTTCTGTGTGCCACTAACTGCAATTCCCCTTCCAAAAGTGAGCTGCTGAGAATTCCCAGCACGAGCGGTGTTTATCAGGGCCTGCTCATGAAAAAGCTCATTCACTCCACGCTGCATTTTGTTTTGAAGACATAACTCTCAGTTTCCATCTGCATCAGTTAGAGCGTCTGCTGCTGGAGCCCCCCCAGACAATGAACAGGAACACTGCGAAGACTGTTCCTATCATCACTCGCATTTGTTATCAAAACCCTTTCACCTGGCCTATTTTTCCAACGGTTTTTCCCTCTTTATAAATGGTCCATTGAAAAAACACACACATATAGTTGTTCACTGAATAGATCTGGGCACTGAACTGAATATTATAATCTGTCTTTTTTAACAATTCACTGTATTTCATAAAATTCAAACCTGCTCATCATCAGCTACAGTGAAAATCATATGCTTGGAAACAATAAAATGTGATTGTCATTGAGTCTTATAATCAAATAGGCAGGGTGTCTGAAGTGTCTTGCCCAAGAACACGACAAATAGTAGGACTTTAAGTAATTTTGTTGAGCAGTGGTGCTTTTTATAAAATACATAGGTGAATAATGAATGATTTCAATAAATCATGTAGCTATTTAAACCCCCATTTGGCACTCAAAACTTTTACTGTAGCCTGTTACTTCAGCTGACAGTATTTTTTTTGATCGCGTGTCCCCAGATTGTATAAAATTAATAATTGATTGTTTGGAGCTGATTCCATCAACACCTCTGGGGGTGTGACGCTAACTGTAAACACTGCTCTATCTGAGGCTTCTTAGACTTTAATCTGAGCTTTATTTTAACACAATATGACCATAAAGAACTGACTTAGTTGGAACTGCAACAGGTGAACTGATTTGTGCTGTTAAACAAGTCTTTCTCTATTACCATTACAGTCACAAGTTAGCTAGCATTAGCCAACAGGTTTTTTCAGTTAGTGACTCTCACTCTCACAAACACTTAATCCATGAACCATGAAAGCTTGTGTTGATCACAGACTGCTGAAAATGTGTTTTGTATTTTAGAATTTTTGTTTTGTAAATCTATTTTGTATTTTTTCTTGAGTTTCGGACAATCTTAAAACTTATTTGGCAGTGTTTGCTAATGGGTGCATTGTGTCTCCATGGTAACTGGTGAACGTTCCACTAATACACACACATGAAGAACTCCCTCCAGTGTGAAAATATCAATTGGCACTCATTGGTAAAAGAAAATATATGTAGGTCCAGTTATGTTATTAGAATAGTGTAGAGTCTCACCTGTTTACAGAATCGTAAAAAGCCAATGGAATAACTCATTCCACTCAGGCAGCATGTCCCGTACAGACAACTCGACCTGTGGATACAAAATATCATACCTTAGATAGATAGCTGTATATAGATACTGTACTGTAAAGCAAAGTGCAAAAAAAAAAAAAAAAATGCTACAGTTTAAAGGAGTCAATCTGCTAACAGCTTTTTGCATGCCACATACATATTTTTTAAAACGGTGTACACAAAAGTCACAGCTTGATCTTAAATACAATGTGAAAAAAAAGTGTACAGCGTTATGAGTCCATCGCCATCTAATCTACTGAATAAAACCCAGGGAATACAGTGGCTTTCAAGGAAATTACTTGCTTCTTTATTGATTAGCATGTAGCCTGTTATTAGTGTTTGCAGCACTATATGAAGAAATATACTCAATACAAATCTGACAACAGAACCATTATTGATCAAATCGTTTAACCATGAGGTTGAGCTGGCCCTGAAATGCTCTGTGGGAAACTTAAACACAAGAAGCGATTTTAGCTTCAAATTACACAAGGATTTAGAGCAACTGCTTGGTGTGGCTGTCATTCAACCCAAACCTTTTCCAAAACAAGGAGGATCACTAACATAAAGGAACAGGATATTCTAGTTATCAACAAAATGGCTTATCCATTCTGCTAAAACTGTATCTCATTATTAAGCAAATAGCTAAATAACATTAAAGGTCCTATATTTTGCAAAATTGACTATTGTGAGCTTTAAGCCATGTTATAATGTTGTTAACTCATCAAAACCATACTTGGAGTTATAGTTTACTTCATTCACACATGTTTGAATAACACTATTATTATTAGTCTGGCTGCATCTCCAAAGCTCAGAATGCTTTGTTCCACCCTGTGAGGTCATGAAGCTGTAGTTTTCAAGTTGACAGCTTCCTTTTAGCTTTTGTTTCTTAAAGACTAATCCAGGGCTGAAATCATCCAAATGATTCTAGTGAAGGTGTATGGAGTGTGCCTTGCCACATGACATCACAAGGTGGAACAGGGTATTTTCTGTTTGAGAGAAGAACTAAACTCCTAAACTCCAAACTTCAAACATCATTAATAATAATATAATATAATAATCATAATCATAATATAGATCAGAAAACAGTGTCAGTGCCCTTTAAATGTCAAAATTTCTGCCTTGTCTTACTCAGTTTATTGATTGACTAGATTGATTAGATGTTGAAATTTGAAAAAGTATTAATGTTTAGCGATATTGTACCTGATGCCACATATACATTCACCCATGTCGTGTGCATATTTCTAAACATAGCTACACCTTATTCAAAGCCCTTAAACATCCATTATGAGTCACTGGAGTTCAGGAGGAAGGAGAAGACTCGTCTAGCAACACCTGGAGAGCTGAAGATAGGGCACTGAACCTTTTATATCGCAACTTCACATAGAATTCTACAGCCCCCTGTCCTCACCCCCCTCAAACACCCACTGCCTTCCCCACCCTATTAACCAACAAGTGAATGGTTTACATAGTACTCTACCACTGCTCTTTATAGACTTTCTCCTTAATGCCTTTTAATTATTGTTCACTTCGAAAACGCATAATGTAGAGAATACCAAAGCCTTGTGTTTGTTTTGACTCTCTTAAAGCGGAATACATTTGCATACAATTTATAACTAATAAATGAAAACACTGGCATATGGAAATTCATTTGACAAACAAAGCAGAGTTTGCCAAGGAGAGTTGATGGGCCAGCCAATTTCACCAATGTGTTTTTTTGTTTTACGTCAAATAAAATCAAGACACCCAACAAGGAAACGATATGGGATATTGGCAACTTGCTAAATTATTAGGGATGTGCAAAAATATCGAAACATTAGATATTGTATCACTGCTGTCTCGATATATCATCAAGAATTATTTTGTGACAGCAGTATAATTGTGTTGCTTGTTTATACAGGAAGAACACTTGTGTATGCGGTACAGTTGACATATTAATTGTTTTGATTATTATAATGGGTGTATTTCATATGAACTGCACAGGTAGTGGTTTAACAAAGATTTTTAGTATCACAGCAATAATTTATTTTTTTACTGAACTGTATCAAATCGATTTAAAATGTAGTGCATCGAAACATATCGAATCATATTGAAGTGAAAGCTCACTTTATTGAGATATGCATCGTTTTGTGGCCTATGTATCGAGGTATCAAGTGGTACTGGCAACTTCTTGATGATACCCAGCCATATAAAATATACTGAATGACCAGAGTAGCTAAAAAGCAGGAAGACATTAAAAAACTTAAAGCTAGCATACAGGCCCAAATTGGCACTTCACATGAGCCAGTTCTGTATTCTCAATGACATTTTCTAGATGAAGCTCTTTCATACTTTTGCCTTATAGTTGAGTGAGTAAAAGCCTCCCTCCTAAAACCACATTGCGCTTGCAGCACAGTACTTAATGGCCAAAGTGAAAAGACTGATCAGTCAAAATGCATTTAACAGAGAAAGAAAATTGCCATAAAAGCCGTACGTTTAGAGTAATGGTGTGGATATGACAGTGTAGGATTAAAATGTGAGCACTTACTGTATAGGCTTCCCTCGTATCTCTGACATGATCGCACTCTCTCCTCCCAGATACTCAAAGGACAGGCTCAGGAAATTGTAAATGACGAAGGCTAAAAGATAAAAAAAACATTTATTTTTTTATCACTCACATGTAAGCTTCTATGTTATTAAACTACCTCAGTAAAATAGTCTAATGAAAATATTATAAACTGCACATAAATTAATGTGAAATGCAAATATGTTAAGTGAGTGGAGTAAGAGAGTTGGTTTGTGTTTTAAATAGCATAACTCTTCTCTGTTAACAAAAGATAGAATATAAATGTTATTTTATATTTTAATTATTAATTGTACCAATGGTCCTTCTTTTTATCAATCTGAAACTGGCTCAAAGCTGTGAGAATGATTCTTCAATTCAAACTTTAATTCTTTGCTTCATGTCCCTCCCCACTCTCTACCCCCATTTCACAATGTTTACTAATGTGTTTAAAGTCTACAGGCCAAAGATTCATCAACAAAATGAACATGGACAAAGTCACAATTTGATTTTTTCTTTTGTAACTTTGTCCACTATAAGAAGAACAAATAATTTCCTTGCACTCTTAACTATTGTGTGATATACAAATGTAGCTTAATCAGAAAAGCTTTACCACCACACAGTGAGTAACCACAGACTGCATAAAAGAAGTGAAAGGGAGTGTCCTATAGCATTCGATCGCAAACAAATGAAGCTCATCAATGCTAGTGGTTACAGGAGCTAATCTGCAGCCAGGGACCATATCTGGAAATCAGAACACGAAACCAAAGAGCAAATCAGGAATGCTGGTGTTGAAGATACACTCCCCTTTCAGCCTGCACCAAGCTTGGCAGGTGGCAACATGGATCTATTAAAAGGTGGCAAGCACTTAGCGACAAAGCTGACACCAGGGAAAGCAGGCACCGGATTTATCAATGATTATTATTATTATCTTAATTTGGGGACAAAATTGTGAAATCCCAGGATCATTTAGAGTGGGTTAAAACCAACATTTAAAGACCAAAATAAAAAGTCTAACAGCAGCAGTTGCAGGGAGAAGGGTGAAGATTTTTCAATAGAAGTCAACTGTAGCTAGAATTTGAAAGAACCACTTTACGCCAATGCCCACTTATATATAGAGTCTATGTGAGTAAGTAAGATGTCTGACAGATTGCCTTAATTTACCTTATGTGTACATAGAAAAAATAAAAATAAAAAAATGAACTACTGATGACTTTTTAAACCCATAGTTATTACTCATTTTAAAAGATACTGAAAAATGCTGCAAGATAAAACCTCTTCTTTTACACGCACATATAGCAGTGTCCATTAGCCCACACTCATCCCAACTCTTGGATTATCCCGCCTCTCCTTCAAAGCATATCTTCATTTAAAAAAGGTCAAATTATTCCTTCAGAGAAAACTCAAACTGATAAAAACAATTAGTTCTACATTTGGAGACAATTACCAATTTGGTCTTTACATTAGGCTCCTTCTGAGGGCTCTGTGACTTGGAAATCCCTGGCTAATCCTTTGTTGCTATTTAAGGAGGGATTAAAAGGAGCTAATGCAGAGGCTGACCGGTCGGGAGCAGGTTCATTATGTTTGAACACATTGGAGCTTCTCTCACTGCAGCGCGCTATCAATCAACAACAAAATGACTTAAAGCTATTGGGACCATAATCTTCTGAATAATGTATTTTTCAACTTTCCTCTTATACTTAAATTACAAGTAATCATCTTGGCATAAGTTTCACCTTTGCCACTGGAGAAGAACTATGGCTTTAAGCGTTTACTGTGAAATCATGATACACCAATATTATGGAGCTCAACAGTGACCGCCCACCCCTGGATATAAAACAAAATTTTACATTCATTTTTCTCATAGTTTCTGAAATATAAAACAAAAAAATGAAAGTGCTTGCTCAGGGCTAATCAGCTACCTGTTAACTAATGGTCTTTATTAAATTTTATTTAAAGTCTGTTTCTAAAACTTTATTAAAATATTTAGCAGAATTGCCATTTTAAATTGCCTTTATGGACTTACATATTAAGTAGCATGTGACTGTTTAGAGTCTGTGATGTCTTTGAATTCTTAATATTTTAATTTTAGGGATGCACAGATCTAACTTTTTCAGTTCCAATACTGTAAGAATCTCTGTATTTTTATACAGATTGATATCAGTCTGGTCCCCACACCCTCCCTCGCATCTCAAATTCGGTCAAACGCGATCATTTCTATTAGATTTGTTTCTTTCAGTGATGCATGTGAAATGAAGGAACTCATTGGTTACCTATCATTTACAAATAAAATCAAATGTATCTCACCTCAGATTAACAGTGTTCATTGATTCTGCAGAAATCTTCAATGTTTTTCAGCCCCATGATATTTTTTCCCTTTATTTTTTCCAATACCGCTGGACCGTGTATGTCCCTGATAGGCTTTATTGACAGGTGGATTAGCCAATCTGAAAATGGGAAGGTTCACTGGTGACTAAACTCACATATTCTGTGATGTCTTTGAATTCTTAATATTTTAATTTTTTAAAAAGTCTATGGGAAAAATGTATGGAAAATTGACTTCCAGAACTGGAGTGTGTGGTCACTGTGGAGCTCCACTGAAGACCATTTAAACTGGAAAAAACCTTTGGACAACATTGTAAAGTTAAATGTTACCTGCAATGATAAAATAGCTCAATGAAAAACATAGTGGATGATTAGTATCAAGAGTCATCGACAGATCATATTTTACCTTCTGTAGCTCAAATGTTAAAGCACCCCCACAAATAAAATACAAAGATGAAAAAATATTAGACTTACTTAGAAAAAGACTGTATTTAAGTATATACTTATGATACAATTACAAACAATAACACCTATAGGCCAAAAACATATGAGCAAACATAACAGGTACAGAATGCTGGCAATCTTGATTCATAGATTATATAAATAAAATTAATTACTGAAAATTCTAAAAAATAATCTATGTTCATTAAAGCACAATTAGCTACAAGTCAGACACCTTGAAAACAATATGCATCATCACAATCAGTAAAGGCGTTCCTAATTACATACTTAGAAATGTTACACCACAAATATTGAGGTGTCTGAACAGAGAACAAAGGAAGTTTAAAAAAATAGTTTATCCAGGTTTTCCTTTTTGTCCCCTACATGTGGGCTCTCATCAATATATGGACTACCACAGGAAATGCTACACCACTGTGTGCAACAAACGCAAGAGGTCTGAGTAAGGATGTCTCTAGGGCCAAAAAGGAGCAAATGAGATAATGTTATTTGTATTGCTAAAGAATCTTAGGTAGACATGATGCCTAGTGGTGCCTAAATGGTAAATTATGTAAAATAAACATATTACATATATGTTTATTTAGATAAACTAAAGATGGCAGTAAAATTGCACACAGAAGACAGCATTTCTGGCTTCACAATATGATGCCATTTAAAAAGTGCACATTGTTTCACTGAGATGGGGTAAAGTGACTAAAATGATTATGAATATGGGGATTATGTTATGTTATGTGTGGTTGGCTAAATAACAGTGTAACATGTAATTAATATAACATTTAGACATTAAGACCTGTACACCAGCACATGCATATTTTTCATCTGTTGAAATTATAAACAGTCGATAAAGGTGGTTCATTAAATAATGACCGTGTCAGTTATAACCCATGTGCTCAATAAATACAAGACTGGGATTTATTGATTTGCGTACAGCTGTAAAGCCTTTCTGATTTAATAATGGTTTTCACTGGAGTCAATTCACAGTGTCTCCATTTCAGGATAATATAGATGTGTTTGTTGTTTTTTTGGAAAGTTTTTATTTAGAAATCTTCATCATTTGACTGACTCTTGTGAGCTTTAAAGGTTGTATGGAGGATTTAATTTTTGTTTGTTTGTTTTAAATTGTCAATGAAAGTTTAAAATACAATTGCAGAGATGTAGCAGCCTTGTAATTATGATGACCAAAAAAAAAAAAAAAAAAAAAAAAGAATGAAAATTTATCAACTGTGGACGTAGTGAGGGCAGATAAACATCAGCCAATAGATAACGGGGCTCCCTCATTTTCTATTGGCTGGTCGGTTGTCAGTCAAACTCTCTACGTTTCTAGTGTAACTGATTCTCCGGCGTGCGGGGATTACGTGGTTTATGCAGCGGTTCTTAGAGGCTTTTTTAAACTGTAGCTTCCTTGCAGTTTTCACAAAGTTTGTTGCGATGGCGGACGAGAATCCACGACCAGTTCTTTGCAAAAGAATGTCAGTTTTGAGAAGAAGAGAAGGAGAAAAGGAGCGAAGCCAAACTGAGGTGATTCTTGGAGATTCCTTCCAGCGATTGCGTGAATGAAGCAGACAAAGGGTCTAAAAACTGACGCGCCGGTCGCTAAATTATTTCTCAACAGTAATTCTGAAAACATGCACTGGCTGTAAACAAGTGTAATTTCTAGAGTAAGGAGGCAGGAGGAGATTTTTCTACTGAGGGAGCTGTGGAGGAGGAAGGTGGTGTCACGCATGCACATTTGAAAAAGAACCGTTGCTGTATTTCTCTTTCCTTAAAAAAATCCTCTATACAACCTTTAAGCCTTGTTAAAATGTTATGTCATAAAAAACGTAGTGGAATTCTCCCTGTAATACCACATTTCTTCACAAGATGGAACAGAGTGTTTTGTGTTTGAGAGAAAAACTCAGCCGAAATATGCAGGATTTGTGTGTTAAACATTATACCATAGATCAGAAAACAGTGTAATGTTGGTCAAATCCATACCTTCATAGCAGTCCCGCACAGAGTCGAAGTAGACATAGTACTGGTCATTGCTGATGAAGAGGAGGCTGAGCCAGGAGTCAAAGGCATAGACTGGCACAATAAACAGGATACGGATGATGTAGCGCTGCTCGTTAGGGACAGTGTACGATCGAAGATGTGTGTAGATCTGCCATAAGGAAACAAAAACAAGATGATATAAGTTATGACACAAGAAAGCTTTTCAATATTGTCAAAACACACTCCTAAATAGATACACCTTTGTTCCACTGTAGTCAGCACAGTTGTTTATTTCTCCACTGATATTCATAGAAAAGAGTGGGATGTCAAGCTACTGAGATGTCCAATCAGTAATATATTTATATCCAGGATTTATCCAACTCTGTCTACATTGTTAGTATATAAATGTATGCAATAAAAGCAGCAGTGATCATCTGATTTGAACTTGTTATAAACCCACGTATTCTTTTACAATGTGCACTTTGCTAGAAAGTGGGGTTATTAACAGGACTGGCCTTTGCTTACTCTATTTATCAGTTAACTAATGGAGGAGGTTTCCATCTTTAATTCAGTGTAGAAAGAAACCTTGATGAAAATTAATGACACATCATTCCAATCATATTTTCTGCAAGTTAAAATATAATTTGAAAAGCAATTAGGTACTCAAGAATCTAGGAAGAGAATAATAAAAAAGCACTTTATAATGAAGATAAGGCTGATCAATTTGATAGAAAAAATATCTAATTACAATTTTTGTAATAAGCATTGTGATTGCATTTTAAAAATAGGATTCTGATCATATTTTAAAACATGTCCAGAAGAACTGATAAAAACACTGACATACTAATGCAAGAAACACATATCAAAACACGATTGAAGAGATCTAAACTACAGGATTAGCTGTTTTTTTTATGCAAAATGAGACAGGATAATGGTAGTGTTGCATCTAATTAAATTGCGATTATAATTTGATTGCACCTCTATCGATCTATGAAGAACTTGCCATACCACTCCCCCATTCCGCATTCACACCTCATTGTAACTTTCTAATATTAACCTTCTAGTGCAATAACAAGCTATTTTACGATACAGAAAACAAAACTTGACAACCAACCAAGAACGAGCTCCATTCAAACTCTATGGGCGCATTCCAATTCTTCTAACATATGCAAACATTGGCTGATGAGAAGCAAAGTTTGTCCCCGGGCCTCTGAAAACATTACCATATAATTGTTCACCAAGCTTTATATTAAATCTCTAGTATTGGCAGGACATTTTTGGATGTAATTCTGTGTTTCCTCTTGAGAGAGAGGAGAACATTTTGGCCCTGAGTTTGGACATGGAGCTTCTTTGCCACATGCAGCTTGATTAAACGCCCCTTAGACACATTGAAGGGTGATTACACTGGGGTGATGCTTGGATGTTCAGTCGACGTGGGGAGGGGAATGGACTGTGACAGATGTCCCTTATTTGAGCAAAATATCATAAAATGCCGAGTTTGTTTACATTTCAAAATGACGCAAACCAGGGAGCAGTTGACTTAGGCTGTAAAGCTTTTCACCACTGGGGCATTACATTATGACTGTGAAGCAAAAAGGGTTGTCAATCCAGATTTTTCGGTCCCAATACTGTAAGTATCTCTCTGTATTTTTAGAGAGATTGATATCAGTTTGGTCCCCACACCCTCCCTTGCATCTCAAGTCCGGTCAAGCGTGATCATTTCGATCAGATTTGCTTCTTTCAGTGACACATGTGAAACAAGTGAGCTCACTGGTTACCTATCATTTACAAATAAAATGTATCTCACCTCAGATTAACAGAATTCAGTGCTTTGCTCATTGATTCTGCAGAAATCTGCAATGATTTTCAGCCCCCAGTGATATTTTTCCCCTTTATTTTTTCCAATACCAACAGACTATTTGTGTCCCTGATTGGCTAATCCACCTGTCAATAAAGCCTATCTGGAAATGGGGAGGTTCACTGGTGACTAAACTCACATCTTCATAAAATATTGAAGAAGTGTGTATTCTGGATCCCAGGCAAACAAAATATACATTTAATTGTGACACCAAATGGGAGACATCCAGGCATGTGGATTTGTCAGTTAAAAGGTTTAAAAGCACATCAAGTCCGATTGGTGTAGATTAAAATCTATAAAAGGATGTTTGAAAGTATGAAGAAAAACTGATCTCCTAAAAATGAATTTTAAGCAACTATTAAACACCGTGGGGACATTACAAAACGCTACAGTAAAATATTTCAAAAGACAAGTTTTATGGTTTTATCGAGCCACATTGGGACTTGCACTGAGGGAGACAAAATGAGACACACTTCACTGATTACCAGCCTGAAAAGTATTGGCAAGTGCGGCAGAGAGGATCTAAGGTCATTGTCTATCTGTGCTTAGTATTCAGAAAGTGGGTTTAAGAGTCTATAGCAATTCTCAGGAGCCGACTCCAATGAAACCGCAGCAGCATTGCAACACTGACTATTTTCTTCTCCCTGTGTGACAACCGCCTTCTCCCGCGGGCCATTTTCACTATTTATTTGTTCAATTAAAAAGCCTTAGGTTCAACAAAACAAGGGCTGTATTATAAAGCAAGCAACCAATTTGGTGGATGTCTGAAATGGTATTGCTTTTTCAGATCTAGCACCGTGTGTTTTTTCAAATATTGCAATAAAAACAGATACACCTGTACCTTATGTTAGTTATGACCACATGCAGAGGAAAACATTGTCGCTATTGAATTGAGAAACTTAATAACATCTCAATACCAAATCAGAATAATAAGGCGCTTCGGCTAAAACGCAGTGATCACGACAATAGCTCCGAATAAAGCTGTAAATGTTATCTTAATATCAATTGATTTCCCTGCTGATAACACACTGCACCCCACTGTATTCTCAGCAAATGATAAAGCCATAATGATAAGCCATTATCCGCACACAGTGGGCAACTCCGCCACACTCGAGAAAACAATCATTTACAGCAGCCCCGCAACAGTGCCGGGGTATAAGACAGCTATGTGTTTTTCAGTTTATTATTGTTTGGGCTCATGCTTCTTGGTTCAACAATTAAAATAACTTCATTTATTAAACAACTCGTTAATGATACTTCGGAGCTGATGTCATCAAAGTTCCCTGGGGGGCTGATGCTAACTGTAAGCACTGCTCTCTCTAATGCTTTAATCTGAGTTTTTTTTTTTTAGCACAGTCTGACCATGAGGGGCTAACTTAGTTGGAACTACCACAGGTGAGATGATTTGTGCTGTTAAACAAGTCTCTCACACATGGAGCTAGTGTCAATTCAGCGTGGAAAACTTAACTTCACTCCCGTCTATCTCACCACCTGCCCCAGAGTTCCACAGCCTTCACCCCTTACTCCAAATACTCCTCCCCACTGCTCGACATACCTCCTCCTGGCCAAACAGTGCCCTGTCTGCCCAATGTATAGTTCCATTGCAGGTGCATGGCCGCTTCAGTTTGTGCAGCACCACACCTCCTCCCCAGGACCCCCTTGGCTTCTCATTGTCTCATCGTCCCCTTCACTCTCCTCATCGTCTCATCGTCCCTTTCACTCTCCTCATCGTCTCATCGTCCCTTTCACTCTCCCCATCACCGGCTTCACCTCTACTATCTCCAGTGTCCAAGCCCCAGAGGAAAGACAACTCCTAGACGTCATCTAATCGGCCACACCCTTCATCACAATGTCTTCTGCTGGGGTCTGAGCACTAAAGAGAACTCATTCAATAAAACAGCTAATAATTTCTCTTTGTGCCTGTCTGAGTCTCTCTGGGCTGAAATAAAATTACAGTCACAAGCTAGCTAGCATTAGCCAACAGTTTTTCAGTTAGACACTCTCACCTTTTTGTTGAAAATCAAACTCTTAAACAGGACCATGAACCTATTGTTCACAGGCTCCTGAAAATGTGTGGTTTAAATCTATTCTGTATTTTATCTTGAGTTTTCAGACAACTTAGCTATAAATGTAAGACGGAACTGTTTGATGGAAAATGTGGAATATTACTGGCACAGCAATAAAAAAAAAAAAAAGCAGGAATCACCCCTACACCAGAAAGGTTCAAGGTGCACCTACTAAAATGCAATAAACTTCATTGACTAAGTGTTTTGTTGGTTATTGTTTGGGGTTTGCTTGGTTCTACAGTTAGCTTCTTGGGAGTGACTAAATTTAAATACTGTGGAGAAATATGTACATTTGTTTCTATAGTCACTCATTAAAACACACAGTTGAGTGACATCTCTCTCTTTCACTACTTATAGTTCAAGAAGTGTATACAATTTTAACATTACATAAAATCTTGTAATGATTGTAATCAGCAGAATTAAATAAATAAATGCTTAAATTAGCCCTGTGTCATCCCCCGCTGTGTTGTGATTTGCATATTGATTTGAAAAAGGTTTAGAGCTTGTTAGCCATGATGTAAATCTTCACTTTGTTATCATGTAAGAGAGCCTCTGTGACTGGGTTTTGTGTTGGAATTATTTTCATTATCTACAAAATGCTTATTTGTTGACACAGGGACTGGTACAGCATGCTCTCTGCAGAAACAGGACAAACACCTGAGGCAATATGGCACTAAACACTAGCTTGAGGAGAGACATGTCTGTGTGGTCATGAAGCTATGGAAACCTAGATCAGCCTGTAACATGAACATAAGGGTACATCCCTGTTTGAAATAATCCTTTGTAAATACAAGAATTAGTTTTCATCCTCTGGCAAGGGAGGTGCAATCTGCCTGTCTCAAACTGTCTCTGATTACACACAGCTATTATGACTATTATGGCTGAGTTATGCTGGACAGCATTATTACAGACTAGAGCCATATGCACTGATTTTATGTTCTCTAAGTGCTGCATTTTGTACTGTTCAAAATCCCACATCAATTTTGTCACTCTGAAACATTTTTATCTTTTTAGACTGCCAATATGTTTGATGTGTGTCTCCCTGTCTTACCTAAAACATTCACATTGTTACTATGTAGTACTATAGTAATGTTACTTAAAAATAAATAAATAAATAAATAAAACATACACAAAATATGTAGTAAGGATAAAGACATAAAAAAGGTTTAGCATTGTGACAAGGCCAACTCCAAATGCTACTAGTAAAAATTAACATTATTACAATGCAAGGAAAAAAAGTAATTGTATAAGTGTGGCATTTTTTCATCACGATCTAAGACTGTATTTGATGTCAGCACCTTTTTATATAAATATAATAACAGCCTAATGTTAAAGGTGTATTGCGTACATTTTCTGGTGGAGGGTCTGTCAAATACTTTTCGCCATGGCGACATTATTGCTGTGTCTTGAATGTTTTACAGTATGATATTAAACCCTTTTATCATCATGGAGACCAAACCAGAAGTTACAGGTCAGATCTGTGGAGAGGCAACCCCACTCCCAGCCAGAATGCCTGTTTTTCTAGATGTTTTTGAGCTATGAAACCCACTGTAATACAAAAAATGTAAAGTAGAGTTGTTTAACACCATACTGTTGAACATTCCAGGCAGAGCAAGAACATTTCCGTAGTAAGAAGCAGGTGACCCTTACACAATGCAATTTTAAGAGTAACGCTCATGTAATTGTGTTATGTTGCAATAGTTTGCCAAATCGCAGAGACTCACCTGGTGACATGTTATGAGCAGGGCTGTCCAGACGAAGAGGCCGGAGAGCGCCTGAGCTGCCACCGTGTTCAGGAACATCTGGTCGTCCTCGATGAGGGTCCCATTCGGCGTTTGGATAATAGTCGCATTGGACTTGCCCGAGGACGTGTCTGGGATAATCGGTTCGTCCAGGTGAACATAAGAATCATTTCCACCTGTAGGAGTCACCGCTTCAAAAGAACTATTCATCTACGGAAAGATAAACGTAAAGAACACGTTGTAACTACATAACATTGAGGGCAAAGGTTATGGCATGTGCATTAAGACGTATTACTGGTCTGGTCACAAGGAAAATAAGAGGTGTAATCAGATATAATGTCTTCACTGGATGGCCTACAAAAGATGACCAAATGGCAGTACCATTAACGTCAACAGCACAGCTAGCTCACCTTGTCCGTAAAAAAGGGAATAGGAGAAGGAGAGGGAGGGGGGAGGAATCGGCTTTATCCAGTTAACGAGGAAGTCTTCACAAACAACCCGTGTATAAGCCAACTTGAGAGGATCAACATCCAGAAGAAAAATACAAGCATCCAAAGCCATTTACAAATGCCCCAAAGATGTCGCCATGTAAGCGCATCCGTTGTACACTTCCTTGTTTGATGGGTATCTGTCGAGAGAGCGAAGTCCACAACAGTGTAATAAAAAGTCACAAAACACACGGAAAACTAACGCAAAAACGGGTAAAACTTCAAGAAGAATTAAAAAATCAAATACATCTAATTTCGTAGAGACAAAACGCTGTGTAAATAAGGAAGATTTGCTAATATCCTTGAGCGATGAGTTTGAAGAACCAGCCACACAAACAGGTCAGGTACAGGTGGATTGGTCACGTGTCTGACCGGGCCGCGGTGTCTGTCGTCATCACGTCGCCTTCACGCTCCGTCGAAACAAACGTTCAGGTCGAAACCTTCAGAATAACAAAGAGCCCCAACCCTACAATCCCTGCTCCCAGCCCAAACACGTTTTTTTGAATGTGTAATTGAGAAAGTAAGGACCTATTATGTAATATATGTTATCACATGTCTGCATGGTGAATGGAGAAGGCAAAACTAATTCCTTAAGTACTCATTAATTATTATTAGTAAGATATATAATCTCTGCCTGGCTTGATTTGTGTATTGTATTGATTCACCAGGCAACATTACAACTTCCTGACATTCCTTTAAAAATAAAATAACACGAATAAATCAGAATGCAAAAATATAACAGCCACCTATTTTCAAGCAACTTACATTTGTACATGGTTACATCTAATGCACCATACCTTCTAACCTTCCTTATTGTACTTATAGCAAACGTTTCAATTTACATTTCATACAGTAATGTAAAAGTAGGTGAAATAACAAAGAATGTGGCATTTTATTATACATGTATGGAGAAGCAAACTATGCAGCAACAGAAAGTTCTTCATATTTGTCTCTCAGTCATATAAAATGTAATAAAACAAACAGGCCCAAATGTATTTATTATGACAACACACCCTTAATTATCATAGACTGGAGTTAAAATAAAGCTAAAAATAGACTCCTAAACACTGACCTTTTGTTGCAGCATAAGTACAAGTAGTCTTGGGAGCTGAAGTGTAGAACTGAATGTTAACAGCAAGATTATAAAACATCTAACTCAATTTTTCAATTTGATGGGGCAATTTATAGAGTTTAAACGCTCGTTCCATTCATTTACACAGTCTATTGAGAGCTGAGTCCCATTTATTCTTCTCTGGATAAAAGAGCATTTCGTTTATTTGAGAGCACAACAACTTCCAAAGGTGACCTGTTCTGTTCAAAGCTATTTTTGGGAATATGCTTGGAGACTTACTTATTATTGATGGGACATTGTTATGGGAATGGTGTAGTTGTATAACAGGAAAATACTGCATTAGCTCATATTCTAACAGGAATGATAAAATGGTACATATGGGGATTAAATATTATTGATATATAAATATTATTGATAAAAAAAAAAAAAAAAAAAGAGTTTGACTATTACAATTTGCCAATATACAAAGCAACCACAATTAGACAGATATAATAACATCCTACTTTATTGCAGAAAAAAGGTAGTAAGAAAAATATATAAAATAAAAAAATACAGGTTACAAACAGCACATGATTTTTGTCCTTGTTTGTTTCACCATACTTTGCAGGATCTGATCAGCTCTTTAAAATGTTGTATTGAATCTTTGGAAGAATCCTTGAGGGCCAGTCCCAATAGAATAGGTCTATTAGCGGCTTCTTGTGAGACGAATGTTGACAGGTTTTTGGCACAGACGTGTGTCATTGGCTGAAAATAGAAGCACAAACATAGACAGGTTAGTCTGCTGCATTTTATTAATACTTAGAAAAGGATAGCCCTAACTGTTCAAAGAATACCAATGCTTTGTGTTCTTAGTGAAAATAAGTGCTTAAGAAACCTTATTAGAAAGTGAGCAGTGACTTCCAGCATGTAATAAAATTCAGTTCTGCAGCAGTGGATCACAAGGTCAGTTATACTTAGGAGTCTAAGCCATGTAAAAAAAAAAGCTAAAATAGGAAATCAAAAAACTGGTTTCTAGAAACATTCATAATGGTCTCCATTATTTTTTCTACCTCTAACTGAATGGAATTGCATTTGACGGTCCAGCCAAAGCCAAAAAGGGGGAAAATGTAGTTCTGTCACAATACATTTCATTAATTTCAAAGTTGATTTCAATAACAAGATTAAAAGTCTTGATACGCAATACCAATAAATGCTAATAAAACACAGTTATTTAGGCAACAGTGTGTCATTGTAAGCACTGATAAGAGTAGTTTAATTTTTAATAATCCCGTATGGTCTTATCCCACTTCTGTATAAACAAGAGCATAATTCTAAAACTATTCAAGATCCAACTTTGTCCTATTTATATAACTGTCTTTCAGCACTGATACTTGTTCAAGTAAGTATTTAATTTCTGCACTAGTTTTAGTATCGATTAGGTATATATATATATATATGTGTGCTTAAAACAAAACAAAGCAGCATAATACAACTGCTTACTACTCTAATTAAAAAAAAAAAAAAAAAAAAAAAAAAAACGCTACAAAAGGGTGCAGACTTTCAAGTAAAAATAAACATTAATTATTATTACTCTTACCTCATCTTTTCCCAGCAGCACTTTAGTGGAGAAGGATGAAGTGCTGATGTCATTACACCTGGAGTCTGGCGTAACAGATACTAAAGTGCCTATTTTTCCATACTGAGTGACCACTACAAAAATGTAATTACTAAACTCTGTACAGACAACTTGTGTGGAAATGCCATTAATTTCTTTCTGTGCCTGCTTTGATTTGATGATGGGCTCTGCTGTTGACATTATGGTGCACCTGTGGACAAAAACATGTGCAAGAATTGATAAATAGGTAATAACACGGCTGCACAATAGTTATACAAAGCTACACTTACATTTCAGACATTAAATCCAATATCATATAATTAATTTTAATTAACATGAGCCAACAAGTTCTTACGGATCAGTTTCGTTTTGGTTTCACATAAATGCTAGTGGCTGATGCTAACGCTAGCCTCACATTTTGCTAGCATACAGCAGCCGTAAAAGCCATCAGCGTCAAATAATTAATGATCACATACGGCAGATTGCATGCAACTTACTTACCTCTGATCCGCGATTGTGCAGTTTCAAGTTTAAAATAAATCTGCTGTATAAAACAACTTTGACAGCTCATTCAACTCGTCCACACCACTGAAGCAAACATGAGCCTGTTTATTCTGAGCATGCGCAGAGAAGCTCCGTAGGTGTGTGCCTGATGCCCATGTGCCTGCCCAGTGTGGTGATCTTCAAGTTCCCAAGGTATGATTACAACATATATTATTATAATGACGTGATTTAACGTGTTTTATCCATAGACTGTATAGTAAAAGTAAGTACCATGAAACATAAAGCTAAAAATAATTGCCTAATTTAATCATATATTTAGGCAGTTCCTGTACAGTCCAAACCTACATTTTGCAGCATAAAATGTATGCTAGGACTAATTGCTAGAAGCCGATATTTCCACTTGATTTTATATGTTATTTTTTATATGTTGACTTGTAACTAGTATTTTTTTATATATTGTAATGATCTAACATTTTAGCAACTAGTTCACACATGAAATTAGCACTATATACATACACGCTATACATAGACTAACAGTACAAACTCAAAATATTAAACATAAAATCTGTACTAAGATTAATAATGCATCTTTCCCCTCTGTGTTTTTTTTTTTTTTTTTCAAAGGATATTCATTTTCCAGATAAGACTTATAACTCTTCTCTTTAACTTTATTATTTCAAAGGCTGGAGGAAGCAGCTGTAATATTTAGCTCAAAGCTAAAGTTTGCTGGAAGATTAAGAAACTTCACAAACAAACTGCTCGTAAATATGCGCCGCTTTCACAGCAAAAGACAATTCAAGGTTTGTTTGTGATGCATGATTACACTTAATCTGCTTAGTCAGTTTCCTTAAATGAGGATTATTCAGCCGCTCTGTTCATATGGGAGTGCACTGTGGGCTAAGGGGTTGTGTTAATAAACCAACTCACATGAAAAACAGCCTTTAAGCAGAAAAAACAAAGCGATCCTCTGGCCCAGTACATTTCAATCAATATTAGAGGCTAGCCGCAACTCTTCCAAAGCAATGAGCTAAATAAGCAGGTTGTTTTCGAATTAACTGTCAGTGGAGCTGTAATTTTGGAGTAAGTACTTGGTTGTTTTTATTTCAGCAACATTTACCATCCCTATAGACACATACTGCCAGAGGTGGGAATTAACTCAATGCTAGCCACTCCAAATGTTAAACTTTTGTATAGATAAAACTGAGCGAACTTGCCTCTTCACAGATCAGACCTGAAGCTTGGCTTGGCTGTATCATCTGTTTGTTTTCATTGGTAAGTTTAATGCCGCACATCCCAGGCAAAAATAATAATAATATTGTAATGGAGAGTAGCAAGCACCCCCTATACCAAAAAAGTTACATGGTACACATTTAAACTGGCTGAACCCAATCTGTAAGTGTTAATATGTTAATAATATGATTAAAATTGCAACTGCTAACATTTAGTTGAATACACTAAGTAGTACAATATTTCATGTTTATCTTGATTTTGGAAGGGAAAAAAAAAACACTGAAGGCCATTCTACCTTTCTAAATGCAAAATACAGTTAAACTATTTTTAAGTACCTATATAAATGTAGGCCTGCATACATTTAGCAGTCCTTTATACCCAAACCCAGCTTCTGTATGTACCTGTTAAAGCTACAGCAGAGTGAAGCGGTTCAGTATTTTCCAATGTTTGCTAAAATGCTTGCTCTACACTTTTTTTTCAGCAGCTGCGAGGCCCCACAGAAGTTGGAGCGCTGCACGGGCTGATCCTAAAAGCATCCTTCCTCCTCGTGAACTGAGACACTGCAAAGTCAAGCCGAGCAGGTGAATTGTTATGCGCCCTGAGTCGTGCAGTGGCAGTATATGAAATTGGTTCAAGTGTTCCCCATACTCCCTGGCTGCCCATGTGTGTCCTTGACTGATCACTCCTATCTCCAGATATAATGCAAATATCGATATACTGTATTCCCCCTGTAGTCTATGGATTTGCCGGTCTCTTTAGGTGAATTTCTACGGGGATGGAACACCTAAGGGTCATTTAATATCAGAAGGGAAGAGAGTTATTTATCCTATATGCTATGTATATGGGTATTTAAAGGTACACTATTTAACTTTTTGGGTAATTATCTCTGCAGAGATCTTACCTGTTCTTGTAGCTTCACCAGCTTGTCTCCATGGATATAGTTATGTTTAATGCCATACTGTGGAACATTCAAGGCAAACATCTTTAAGACAAGCAGGTAGCAGACCCTCCACCAGAAAAAAAATTACATAATGTATCTTTAATAATTTAATGATGTTTAATGAAATCTGGTTTGAGATTTTTTGCTATTGAAATGGTGACTGGCATCAGTTTCCTTTGTACTTCAATGTATCTCATCCCAAGCAATAGTTATAGGCAGCAGTTTAACAAAAGCCCTTGAAAATAATTACTTGTACCAACTTTTAATTTTGGTATAACATTTCTTACTGACAGCAGAAGGCACACAATAGACCCTTTGAATTAAATTAAATGCGGCCAGCAATTTGCTTTTGTGAACCTCAATTATAGTTTATTTTCCAATTTAGACCAAGCGCTTGAGCAAAATTACCCTTTCTTCCTTTTGGGTGTTTAATACATTAACCTTTTTATTCAGGCTTATTTGGAATCATCTGTTCTTTTGTAATCTCCCTACTCAAGAAACAGAAATAGGTGAAATTGATTTTGATATACAGTTGCTTGTTGTTTCTTATCTAAAAAATAAATATACTTACATCTAACTTGTATTTGATATTTAAGAGACCATTCAGTTAAGTGCAAAGTTAGAAGTTTTGATTGCTGCTCTATTGTTTTTGTTGGGGCTATATACCCTTTCTAAAGCCCTGTGACTTCAACAGGAACACGCAGTAAACTTGTCATGTTTTCCTCTTTAATTAAAGGTCATGCTTTGGCTGCCTGTGTTTAAAAGGTGAAGTTTCCGGTGTCTGAAATGACACAGGTAGCCCTCTCCAATGTGTCTAAGAATGGCGAGTTTTGAGTTGCACTTTGTAAAATGGGAGATCAAAAATAATAAGATACTGAACCACAAACTTTTCACACATAGTGGCAGTTTAGTATATAATGGATTTGGCTTTCTAGATAAAATCTGATTTTAACTGTGTGTAGCTTTTCTGTTTGTTCATCTCCATAGGGATGTTATTTCTTTACTTTGGATGTCCCACAATAAAGCATTAAACAAGTACAGGTATTGCTCAAAAATACATTCAAAACATGTATTCTCACTGTGAATGGGGGATCTGCTGGTTTCACCTATTTGTCTCCATGGAGAGTGATAAGTTTAATGTCATCATATGGAACATTCTGAGCAAAGGAATAACAAATAAAATCTATATGAAGTAAAACGCTATATACTATACCCTAATTGATGTAAGACCATACCATAGCTTAAAAGCTATGAATATTCGCCCCTCTACCTTAGTTTGAGAACCACTTCCAATGAACTGTGTTGAGATAACCTTTTAGAAGCTCTTTATTAAATGATACAGCACATAGAGTATATATGGTAAAAGATGTTTAATTAATTATACCATTATACCACGCCTTGCTTTATAAATATGTAAAACTTATTCTATATACATAAGCCATGTCATTTAGCAAACTGCCAAGTGAACATTTCCCCATATCCACTGGGTTCTGAGTAAAGGTTAATGCCACTCTGTCATTGTAATGAGTCCTACTTCCAAATCACGAATTTCATGTAATATCTCTGAATGAATAAAGACTTTGATTGCATAATGAATGGCAAAGGGCTAAGTAAATGGTTACAGTGGCTTCACCAGGGATTCACACATGGCTTAGTGCTGCTGTGAGAGATAGAATAATATGCAGTGGTAAAATCCACTGCAAAGAGATTGAGTTATGAAAAAGTAGGATTTATCAGTTCTTTGTCTGAAACCTCGGGTGATGTTCAGCCTTGTGCGTGGACAAGGTTTTCAGTATAGCTTGAAGAAAAGTGCAAAGTTTTCTTGTTTGATATGTTTATAACTGTGCAGACAACCTTTTCTCATGTTCTATGGTTGGAATATTTACTCATTTGTCACAATCTGAGCCAGCGTTTGTAACAAGCTTTGACCAGTGAGTAGGCTTGTCACGATAATTACTTCATCCTTCAATCGTTCAAGCAGGAACAATATATTCTGCGGCTCAATATTTATCGTGGGTTTTTCTTTGACATAGTGGGAATAACGTAAGATTTGACCTGTAGAGAGTAGAATAGATAACATATGGCTAATTATCGGTTAATTCAGCCATTTTTCATCTTGCGTTATGTCAGTGGCATAAAGTAGTTTCAACATTATAGTTTATTGCAGACTGTTTTTCTCTGTAGCAATATATCATGCTTCAAAATTTGTTATTGTGACAGGCCTACCTATCCATGTTCAAAAGTAGCTCATTTCTATTAAGTATATTTATTTGCATCTTGTATGAATAAATATTACATAGATAATTGTTAGATCAAATAAATTCAAGATTGTTTGAATAGGAGTTGACACTCACAATTTTCACAATTTCAATCAAGTCACATTATTTGTATTGAGCAGTTAGTCATAATACTCAGTGCAATCTACAACTAATCCAAGTCTGCAGTGAGTCATTTTGTTGTGTCCTTCGGCAAGACACTTCATCTACCTTGCATTATGTAATAATGTGTAATAATAACTGTTTGTGGTGGGAAGGGCCGTAAGCACAGATTGGCAGTCACGCTTCTGTCAGTTTGCCCCAGGACAGCTTTGGCATGCATCTGTTATAGTGAATGAATAATGCATGAAATTGTAAATTGACTTGCTTGTTGCCCAAAGTGGTAACGCTGGATTATAATTTGTATTAATTATCACAGCAGCATGTTATGTTGCAGTAATGACAGTGGTAATATCAGTAGCAGAAGATAAGCCCCTTTCTGACTTTTAGTAGCTGGAGGGAAAGTGTCTGAGTCAGTGTTAACCTTTATACTTTTTACTCGATACATAAATCAAAGTGCAGCCAACTTTTTCATAATACATTACTGTCACATTTAGAAGATCTCTTTTTTATTTGTTGTTTGATGTTTCTTTAGGCGATAAACACATGGCTCTGTCCCCGAAGTGGATTTTTGTGAGAAATGAAAACTTGTTTGACTT